AGTGACTTTACCAGCGGAACCACCTTGCTGCCCTGGCCTTTAGTCAATTCTTAAAGATCCATTTGTACCACCTTTTAACACCTCATAACAAAAATTAAATGTCACATGAATTTCTTTAGGGTGTAGAAAAGCTGTTTTCTTCTTTAAACGATGTAAGAATAAATATCCCATATGCAAATACCCTTTTGATTTTTTTTTTTTACTGTGTTGTGCTGAAAATCGTTGATGTCAGTCACCTGCCGTGTTGATGACCTGACATCTCCTGGAACAAGTGGGCCCAAGTTCATTCTTACTAATGGTGTGGACTGTGTTATCCACATGGATTTACTTAGAACCACCCTTCCCCTTGTGATCTCAGTACTGAATGTAGAACAAGCCACAGATAAAGGGGTTAAAGCTGAAGATCAGAGAAGCAGAACAGAAAACCATCAAAGAGACCTTTTACCTCTACCAGTGCTCAGACTGAATGGGTGAGATCCTGTCTCCATGAATCCTCAGACTCCACACTCCAATGTGTTCCTGTCTCTTCCCCTTTATATTCCTCTCTCTGCCCAGTCATACCGCTTCTGTCTCTACCTCCCAAGTGCTGGGATCAAAGGTATGTGACTCCCAAACACTGACATTAAAGGTGTGAGCCACTACCACCTGAATTTGTTTCTGGATTGATTGTGTAACCCAGGCTAGCCTTGAATTTACAGAGACCCGTCAGCCTCTGTCTGGGAGAGTGTGCCACCACTCCCTGGCCTCTAGGGGCTTAGTTTTGAACTCTGATCCTCAGGCAAGCTTCATTTATCAAAATACAAATAAAATATCACTACAGCTGAGGATGTGAACTATAACCAAGTCTGAAGAGTAAAGTCAAATACAGCGCTAAAACATGGTCGTGGACCTGGAGGTATGGCAGCTACTTGGGCCTCTTTCTGAAAGAAAAGGCCTGGCTCCTCCCTGAAGCGCCATCAGGGTCACAGGGGACATGAAACCCTTGCAGCACACTGCAGGCACCAAGCTGTCTGCAAGGCCACACCACAGGCAGGAATCAATAGGAATGACTGGTTTATTTCTGGGAACAGGATGAACACTCTGTTTTAGATTTTGACTTGAGTCGGGTTTAACAGTATAGCCGTGCCTTTCAAACTTTGTTACTAGGAAATAATTTTGATGTATGTGTGTGTATCTATGCATGCATATGGGTGTGTATATAGACACATCTCCTGTTTACATTTTACATTTGATATTATGCATAAACTTCCAGGAGTTCACAAAAGTTTTATCTTCCTGCATCTGACTTTATCCCTGCCCCTTACTGTGGCTTCCCTTGTGTTATAAACAGAAATTTCCGATGTTTCTTCCGTTTTCCATTTTTTTTTTCTCCCTACTCTCGAGTCCCTGAGGATCTGAGCTAAGAGATAGTACTGGACTTTGAGCTGGGGCTGTTGACCTGTGATTCAGAACTCAGGGCTCAGGTCAGGACTGGTTGGGTGAGGCTGAGATTCAAACCCCATTCTTAGCAGACCAAATCCCAGCGCGGAGAAGGGGAAGAGGACACGACGTCTGACCCTTTCCTGAGAAGGGGTTGGCAGTCGACACCTGCTGGAAAGGGGAATATCAGCTTTCTCCAATAAAGTGACATCGGGTACATCCACCACCCCAGGGCAGGAGGACTTGGCAACACGAAACACACTCCATGTTTTTGTTATTCAGCACATGCTTTTTTTTTTTGTCATTTTTTTGTTTTTAATTTCAGTTTTTGCTTTTCACTTGAGAGAGGGAGAAAGAACTTGAAGCTGGGTGGTAGGCATGTGGAAGTTTAGAAGAGTTGGGGGGGAGGGGAAAATATGATCAAAGCATAGTACATGAAAAACAATTCAAAAATCAAATATATACAAAAGAATTGAGCCTACATACAAGTTCATCTTTAGGAAAATGGACACATAATGTGTGGACAACTGTAAAACGAGAAGCTAAACATATGCCTAGAAGAATAAAATTTCTTTTGAAGAATGTAAAAACAACAACCCATATTCTCCCATCTGTCAAATGAGACTAACGATCTATTAACTCCTAAGTGTTTGCAAACAGCTGGCTCTTTGTAGAAAAAAATTCAGGATGAAGTAAAAAGATTATAATACAAAGTCACAACACTTATTTTTATTTAGTTTTGTGGACCCGGGAGGATGGAACTTGGGGACTGGAGCATGCTGGTAAGTACTTTGCTGCCCACACAGGCCCCACCCACTACTCAGCACGAGCCTATCTGTGGTAGGAGATGGCGGTGGCTCTTCTGTAGAAGACACAGGGAAGGAAAGTAATGGGTTTCTTGGCTGTTCTTGTTTAGTTAATGGCAGACATGTCGGGGTCATTCTCCAGCTGCTCCTGAAGAGTCTGGATCTGGCCCTGCAGCTGCTGCACCTACTTCACACGGTCCTGGTAGCTGGCCTGCATTCGTGCCTGCACAGCTGCAATTCCTGCTCCCAAGCTACCAGTCGCTTCTTCACCTTGGCCTCTCCAGCTGCAGCCAAGGCCTTCTCTGAAGCCAACTCCTTGTCGCGTTCCCTTAGTTTGCTCTTGGCAACAGCCGCATCCTCTTGCTCCGTGGCTAGCAGCTTTTCTTTCTCTTCTAGCTGGCGTTTCAGAATTGCTACAGGGTCACCCTTCTGAGTGGCCTTATGTCCTGAGGATCTCAATAAGCTGGGCCTCACCCTCATTGAACAGCACACTTCCAACTATGGAGACCAGCGTCTTGTAGGGCAGGAAGATGGCTGTTGCCATCTGGGGTTCCAGACTCACCTTTTCTCTTTGAACCAGACTTCTTCTTCGCAGGCGCCTCTTACTTTGGTGTCTCCTGGCTCTGGACCATTCCTGCATTTTTACCCTGGGCAGGAGCCGACTCTGACTTTTTACCCTGATTGGCAGCTGTGTCTACCTTTTTGCCCTGATTAGGGGACCCCCTCTGCCTTTTAGGTCTGAGTCACCTTCTGCCTTTGTGCCCTGATTAGCAACTGTATATCAGTCTTTCTGCTCTGGTTAGGAGCCCCTTCCCCCTTCTTGCCTTGGTTGGGATTTCCATCTCCCTTTTTGCCCTGATTTTGGGCCCCTTCTCTCCTCTTCTTGACCTGGTTCTGGGTTCTGCCTATCTTCTTGGCCTGGTTCTGGGCCCTTTCTCCCTTCTTGGTCTGGTTCTGGGTTCTCCCCCCCCTTCTTAGCTTGGTTCTGAGTCAGTAGAACATAAGACTAAATCTCAGGGTCGTGGGTTTGGGCCCCAGGTTGGGTGTCAGATGAAGACACTTAAAAGAAATCCCACACTACCTCAGAATTGAGTATAGTAGAGGGTTATTTATTTAGGGGTAAGCTCACAGATTATAGTCCTCTGCTCAGACAGGGAAACAGCAACGGAATCCGGCAGCTTCCATCAGCATTTACAGTATAAGAAGTCACACCCAAGTGGGTGGGTAACTTAAAGGCTACTGGCGGTAGGAATTCCTACAACACAGACTGGGAGTCAAACCCTTGCATGTTGACACTGATTATTAAATGATCATCAGCTATGGGATTGTTTCCTGTTTCTTTCTGATTGTGTCCTGTTGGCTCAGCACTGTGTGACTCTGTAGTGCCCTGTCTCCTGGCTGTTCCCACTCAACTCCTCCCTGCACCTGACCAACAATTATCAACAAGATGGGATTTTTGAGTCACCATGGAAACAAAGGTCTGGACACGTGGGTGAAGGACTTTCTAGATTGGGCCGGTTGAGTGGCACCATTCCATGAGCTGTGTACCATTCCATGGGTGTGGTCCCAGGCTGAATAGAAAGGAGCCTGTGAACTGAGCGCAAACATTCACCCCTCCGCTTTGACTGTGGGTGCAGCGTGACAGGCCTCGAATTCCGGCTTCCGGGACTCCCAACCTCTCTCCTTTGCTTCCTTCATGTGCTTTTGGTAGGCATTTTCTCACAGCCACCAAAAGGGTAACTCCTGTGTTTCCTTTGAACCGTTCAGAGCACTCCCCACTGGAGTCTGCACACCAATATTTCCGTCTTTGATCATTCTCTCTGTGTGTATAGGCATTACACTAATATGTGCATGTGTGTTCATGAATATATGAGCACGTGGAGGCCACAGGCTGATGTCAAGCATCTTCGCCAATCAGTTTTCACCTCCCCCACTGCCCTTAAAGTCAACATAGGGTTTCCTGATTCAGGTAGACTGTGGGCCAGAGAGCCTCAGGCTTGTCCTGTCTCCAAATCCCCAGGGATGGGATCATAGGCACGTACTGTTCTGTCCAGTTTTACTAACTTGGGTCCTCATGCTTGCAAGCACTTAACCAACTGGGCTCTTTTCTCAGCCGGCATCTGATCATTTTCAATCCCAAATTCTCTTCTCTCAATAGCTTTGCACATGCCATCATTCAAGGACTTCTCAGGGTCCTGTTTCCTTAGTATCCCCATCCATACCTGGCTCTTCATCTCCTTCAAATCCCTCCGTGACTCTGTATGCCTCTGTCTGTTACTCTGTGTGCCTCTGTCTGTTACTCTGTATGCCTCTGTCTGTTACTCTGTGTGCCTCTGTCTGTTACTCTGTATGCCTCTGTCTGTTACTCTGTATGCCTCTGTCTGTTACTCTGTGTGACTCTGTCTGTTACTCTGTGTGCCTCTGTCTGTTACTCTGTATGACTCTGTCTGTTACTCTGTATGACTCTGTCTGTTACTCTGTATGACTCTGTCTGTTACCCTAACTCCTTCCCCATCCTATTAGTTCCTCCCTGCTCAAGGGGGTGCCTCTGAGGACTGCAATGTGATTTTCCATCTCATAGAACTTTTAAATTCTTTAAAAACTTATTTATTTGTAAAAATGTATGCACATTAGTGTTTTTGCCTGCCTGGATGTCTGTATGAGGGTGCCAGATCCCCTGGAACTGGAGGTAACTGACAGTTATGTGTGAGCCGCCATGTGAGTGCTGAGAATCGAACCCAGGAAATAGTCAGTCAGTGCTCTTAACCACAGAGCCACGTCTCCAGTCCCAACCTTTATTAAAACTTAACTGTTGTTCTTTTGATAACTAGATACACACATGCATTTCTGCAAAAAATAAAATAAGCATGGGCTAGAGAGTGAGCTCAGTGAAGGCAAGCGTTTGCTGCCTAAGCATGAGGACTGGAGTTTGGATCTCCGGGACTCACAGAAGAGCTGGGTAGGCACTGTGCCCTAATAATGAACCACCACTCGGGAGCAGAGATGAGGGATTCCAGGCAAGCTTCTTTATTTAGACTAGCTGAATCAGCAAACTCAGGATTCAGTGAGACACGGTGGTGCCTGAGTAAATGAAAGGGAGAGAATGATCAAGAGATGTGCGATCTCTGGTTTCCACGCACGTGCACACACATACACATACACACACATACACATGCATGTGTGCCAACACACGGGTGAATGCACACAACCCTAAAAACACTGCAGAATATATATCTTAGAAGTGAAATCCGCAGTTATAGCCCCTCTGCTTGCTCAAAGAGAACTGTGATTAAGAATTCAGAATAAGGGCTGGAGAGAAGGTTCAGTGGTTAAGAGTACTAACTACTCTTCCAGAGGACCCAGGTTCAATTCCCAGCAACCACATGGCAGTGAATAACTGTCTGTAACTCTAAGATCTGACACCCTCACACAGGCATGCATGCAGGCAAAATACCAATGCACATAAAATAAAAAATTATTTAAAAAATTTGGAATAAATCATTCACATTTATATTTTGTATTACATATACAGCTTTGTAATGTTTTAAAATAGGATTTGTTCTTTTCCCTTCCTTTTCTCCTTCCCTCCCCCTCTAGCTCTTCCTTTGCTCCACTGAGCTGAACCCTGGGGCTTTCTGATGCTTTCTCAGTAGGTGCTGTACCACCGAATCATGCTCTCAACCTGTAGGCATAGGCTGCTCATTCATTCCTGGCTGCTCAGACCCAAAATAATAACATAGAAGCTGTATTAATTAAAACACTGCTTGGCCAATCACTTTGGCGTATTGTTAGCTAGCTCTTATATCTTAAATTAACCCATTTCCATTATTATATATTTTACCATGAGACTCGTGGTTTATCAGTAAGCTTCCAGTGTCTCCTTCAGCAGCTACATGGCATCTCTCTGACTCCACTTTCTCTTTTTCTCTGTCTCTGCTTGGAATTCTCACCTTGCTGTAGTCTGCATTGCAACAGGCCCAAAGCAGCTTCTTTATTAACCAACGGTAACAAAGCATATTCACAGCATACAGAGGGGAATCCCACATCATCAACCGAACTGCATTCTTTCTTGTTCAGGGCATAGTATAAGAATGTACTCATACACATAGAATAAAAATAATTAACCTGGTGGTGGTGGCTCACACCTTTAATCCCAGTACTCAGGAGGCAGAGGCAGGTGGATCTCTGTGAGTCTGAGACCAGCCTGGTCTACAGAGTGAGTTCCAGGATAGGTTCCAAAGCTACAGAGAAACCTTGTCTCAAAAAACCAAAAAAAAAAAAAAGAAAGAAAGAAAGAAAGAAAGAAAGAAAAAAATGTACACATGTCCCAATGTTGACCTGTCCTATCCCTTAAATGATTTCCAATTCTTCCCATGGTGAGCAACAACGCTGCAATGAGAATATGCACTGACACATTTGCATATGCAAATCATCATAGTTTTGATGTCATCACTTCCTTTAGGACATGCCTTGCAATATGTCATTGTAGATGAGATGGAAATATGACAACTAGAACTGAGGGGAGGAGCCTTGGCTTCTGTCCAAAGGCCCTTTATAAGGCCCATCACATGTCAATGTAGCTCAGGGGAAGGAGGGCAAGCTGCTGGGCTCTGTACCCAGGCTTCATCTTTGTATTGGAGTAGCCAGTTCTCCAACCCCAAAGAGGAAAACAATGGTTCCTGGCGCTGAGCGCCTGAGTTGGGAAATATGTGTAAGCACTTAACAGTGTATCCTAAAAAGGAGAAAATAGAATATATGTAGGAAGGAAACTAAATGGCCCGAAACCTGAGCAGAATAATAACAATTTAAGTAATCTTAGAATTGTACAGTGCAATTACTTTATTGGCACTTCACTGTTAAAATAATAGTTACCTAGAAAGATGGTCTCTGAATCTTGGAGGTACACGATGTGGTCTGAGAGCATTTATCGCTGGGCAAAACAAACTATTTTGAAGAAGGCCAAGTGAATTGACTTTGGTCTCATCAAGTGGCCCCAGCTGCAGCTCAGAACCTTAAAAATAGGGACCTCTGAGGGAAAAGACTAATACAGCTCCCTAGAAGTAACACTGGCTCCCCACTTGATGTCATTAGCTTCCCTAGTTCACCAGCTTTGAAAATAGAAGGCACATGATGAAATAGCCGTGTTAGACATGGGGCTACTTTGATTCTTAGGTCCTGACTAGATATCCCCATTTTCAGGGCAAGTTTCTCTGTTGGAAGATCTAGCAGAAGTCAAGCCCTGTGTTCTGGAGCCAGCTGAAACCGCTAACTAGCTGCAAAACCTTACACATTTTGGAATTTTATGTTGTGCTGATCCAGTGAGGGTACCAAAATAGTTTACGTAAAAGATCGTCTTTGATGTCCCCTTCCCTATAGGTAAGACTCACATTGGTGGATTATTGCTGAGAGCCAAAGTTAACGCATCAGGTCAGACTATGAAAGATTTCAAAATGGGTTTATAAAGAAAGGCCAAGCATGTGAGAAACTACATACAGAAGCCTCTGCCATGTGACTTCCCTCATGCAAAATGTCCCATAGATGTAGACTTGATGGAAAGCAAATTAGTGATTACTCAAGGCTGGGAGAAGGGAGGAGAGGATGCGCCGTGGTCACCTTTAGAGATGATGAAAAGTGTCTGGAACTGTACCGTGGTGACAAGTGTGCCAGTGAATGTCACCACATGTACACTTTAAATTGATTACAACGGGGTAATTCCCCGTATATGTATTTTATGAGAGACAGACACAGAGATGGACTCTAGCAAGTTTGGTTTTGTTCATTGGTACTTGTTAGAGCAGGCAGAAGGGACCATCTGAGAAGCCTGGAAAACCCAGAATGATGGAACTGGATTCGGCATAGAAAGTATCTAACCCCTGCCAGGGACGGAGGCGGCACTAATGGGGCTGCCAATGAGGACCCTGCTTCAGTTCCCTTGCCCTCCCACGGAGAGTAAAGCTGACCTAACTGCTTCATAGGCTCACTCAAAACTCACCCCGTGAGAATCCCTGCCTGTCATAGAGGCTCTTCTGGCTCTCCGAAATATTGAAGGTAGATTCCTCTCATCATCTCTGAAGGGTACAGGCTCCCACCTCGTCTGTGGAGGAAATTGAGGCCTTTGGCTTCTTTCCTCCCAGGCAGTCAATACAGTAGGGCTCAGAAGATATTTGTGGTTCTGTGACTGGGTGAGTCAGGCAGGCCCCACAGGAGCAGTTTAATGGGTTTTAATAGGAACCATACCATGAAATCTGACGCTTGTGCTGCGCTGCTGCTAAGCCATCGTTTCTGTGGGATTTTTCGGGAAGCACTCCTTCAGCAAATCCGACCCAAGCTGATGACTTCTAGTACGAATTCACCCCTAACCCCTAAAGAGTTATGCTCCTTTTATGATAAAAATGACCATCTTGATATATATATATATATATATATATATATATATATATATATATATATATATCACATACCACAACGCACCTTTGTGTTGGAAAGAAACACTTTGCAAGAATTGACTCACTAACCCAGATGTAGAAACTGAGGCACTGAGCAAGTCACAGATCACAAGCTGTCGAGGGGATGGGAGCCGGCTGGGATTTACCCAGCTTGGGGGTAAGGCTGCCTGAAGTCCATGTGCAGGGCACCAGACCTCTACGAATGCGCAAAATTGACGTTGATGTTTATTTCAAGGGAAATGGTTCCCCCCTCAACCTTGTGTCTTTTCCTTCCTCATTCAGAGCAGAATGTTCTAAAGCAAACGTCTTTTTTTCACACCTGAGCGAACTGGGCGGCTTATTTTCGCTTTGGCAATCAAAATAGAAGAGGAAGCGCCTGCGGTTTCATCACTGGAGCTTTCGGGGCGTGTGCTGCGGGCTGTCCCGCCTTCCTGCCGGCTCACCTGGCTCTGGCCCTTGCCCCCCAGGTTTTGGTACCGGCTGCCTTGTTCTACACAGCTCTGCTGTGGGCTGGCCTTTGCTCCCGACCCACGAATCCAGGCCTAGTCCTGCAAACCTTCCGGGGCGAATTTCACTCTGCTCCCTCCCAGGACTCTTTGGATCCGTGGGACTGACATCAGCACCCCACCCCCCCAGAAGCCTCATCCTTCCGACTGGGCGAATCCACTATATTTAGGTTTCGGATGTTGTCCGCCTGGCTTTACTTATATTTAAATGTCCATGTCCCCACGAGGAAGGCCTGTGTCAGACCGGACAGACCTGCCCTCTACTGACTGGGGACCCAGAGCATGTTACCTAACATCTCGGAGTCTCGGTTTCCTCATCGGGCATGGGATTGATACCTATGGGTTGCAGTGTGGCTGCAGGATGAGGGAGCAGGAGTTCTATCGGTCACCCTAGGCCGAACCTATCAGATCCAGGCTTCTGTTTCTCTCTGAGCTCCATGGCAGGTCGGGCAAGCCGGGTCGGAGCACCCGTAGCCCGCTGGGATTCCCCGGCGCACTGAAGATCTCAGGGCTAGGCGCTTCTCTCTCCACCCCTAAACCCAACGCCCCCTCGCACTCTGGAGCCACCGCCGGCTGGGCGGGTTGCGCCCTGCGGAGTAGGTTCGGGAAGTGCCGGTCCTGCACCACAGCGCGGACACCTGCTGCGACGGGGCCCACAAACACCACCCCCTCTCCCCGTCACCCCCTCTGCCGTCCCCGCGCGCGGTCCCCGCACCCCTCTCCTCCCCCAGAGGCCCGCGGAGCATTGTACTCACATCCGGGGCTGGGTTTTGCTTTAATGCGAAACGTAATTAACCCGGAAAAAAGATTCGAGACGGCGTGGAAGACAGCAGAGGGTGGGGGAAGAAGAGAGCGGCAGGACGGGCGGGGAGCCGCAGCCCCGAGGCGCAGAGCCCTGGGACCCGATGCGACCCTTGCTGCGCACAGCGCGGTGAGTCGTGTGGAGAGGCGCAAGGGCCGGGGCACTGGCCGAGAGGAGTGGGGTTTGCGGGCTTGGTGGCGCCAGTCCGGGTGGTGCAAGGCGACCGGAGGTGGCCCTAAGCTGGCGACCTCCCTAGCTCCCAGGAAAACCCCGAGAGCAGCCCCTCCTCCGAGCACTGGGTCCTTCGGGGTGACCAAGGTCGCCACCGCCAGGGGTCGGGCTGTGGGGTGGGGCGTGTGGGGGCGGTGTCCTGCGGAGCTGCATTTTCTCACGTTTGCAGCGGCGAAACTTCTCCCTGGTTCTAGCGCCGGGGTAGTAGCCCCGCAAGAACTGCCCAGGCAGCGGGTAGGGGAGGAGCACAGAGAACATCCCAGGCAAGTCCCTCTGGCACGAGTTGGGTGCTAGAGTCTCTTCCTTCTCCTTCTCACTCATTTTTAATTTGGCGGGCCTAGAATGTTCTCCCCGGGGAGACTCCTCCTTTCGTCTGGTCCCGCCACGGGCTTCTGGCATTCCTGGCAATGGAGGTGACTTGGTGGAAAACGCAGGTCGGTGCCAGGTTAGGCAACCCTTTCGAGGGGAAGCTTGCTTTTTCTGTCCTCTACAGCGTCCTCGCTTGCCTGTCCTGCTCAGTCTCGGAGACTATGTTGTTAAAATTTAAAAAAAAAGAAAAAAGAAAAAAGAAAGAAAGGAGGGATGAGGACAGGTCGTGTGGGAAGAAAAAAGTATCAGGGCATTCCCAGGGCACCTTGTTCGCTTCTGCCCCGGGCAGTCGTGCCTTTCACCTTAAAAGCTTCCTTCTTTCTTGAGCATCTTCCCATTGTAACTCCTGTCCTGGGTAGGACTCAAGAGTTTTTCAGGGGAGTATAAACTCTAGAGGAGAACCGGGGCGGAGGTGGCGGGGGTGGGGGTGGGGTCGTCTGAACCAGCAGTGGCTCCTGGGGGGCACTTTGCTTTGCAGTTGGGGCTGAAGTTCCAAATCGTCCCCCCTCCCCTGTTCTTTGTTGTCTACCTCCCTCCGAGGGGAAGGACAGAGTTTTCAGCAACAGCTAAGCAAGAGACACTGGAAGAGGTAGAAGTTTTATCTTCAATCCGGTCGCATCTATTGACTTGTTTGGGTACTAAGAACGAAGTAAGGAGCGGTGAGCAAGAAGCTCAACCCCGTTTTTAGGGAGCAGGCAGGAGACCAGTGGAGATCCCTGGCTGTGCAGAGCCCCTAAACTACCAAGCTGGAGGCCCTGGTGTTTGGAGAGGCCAGAGGACGGTTTGTGTGCAGCGCTATCGTCATGGCAGATCTTAGCTTCCCTTAGGTGCTGCCTGAGTCAGAGTTCTAGCGAGAGTAACGTTTGTTGAGCAAATGAATGAAAGCTATCGCTGAGGGCAAATGGAGGAACGATAGGACGTCAAAAACGAGTTACAGGGCTTTCCTCTAGCTGTTGTCTTTCGACTGAGAGTCCTTTGGCTGTGTTTGCAAACTTCTTTTAGAAAGTGTGATACTCCTAGTGGAGTTTTAGCTGCCTGACAATGGATCCTTACCCACCTCATAGCTTGCGAGTTTGCCCAAACGGCCTCCTGTTTGGTGAAGGGTGACTGCAAACCCTTCTCTTCCCTTACATTGGCGCTTGCTGCTTCTCTCTTCTGCGTAAGGAAGTAGGGCCTGCAATCTTCCTCACGTCATCATGGTGAGCTAAACACGTTCTCTTCAGCTTGGTATTTTCCGGGGGGAGGGAGCGGACAGAATCAATCCAGAACACACACGGAGCTACTGGAGAAGTGAGCCTGCAATTGTGGGAAAGGGGCGGCAGGATGTACCTCAATGACAGAGAGCTTGCCTTGCGACCCCACCCCTCCCAGCCCCAGAGGGGGTGGGCGAGAAAGACCAGTGTCAGCTGCTCAGTCAAGCCCCAGGAGAGCATCACTGCCTCCCTCCCAGGTGTGTGCTGAAAGTGCCCGGGACAGACAAAACAGCAGGAGCGGGACACCTCTTTGATTTCCTGTCGTGCTGTCAGGCAGGTGCACAGCTGGGCAATGCCCCTGTGGTAGGCTCGAATGGCTCAGATTTAACTTGACATAGACCACTGTTGCTTTGGGGTCTCAGAAACCAACAAGGCTTTCTTTATTCTGCCCTCTTTCAGGGCTTGGTTGCTAGGATTTTGGGCTGGCCGCAGAGCTGCTCTTGGTGAGCCTCTCTCCACCCTACTTTCGCTTTCTTGTCTGTCTTGGTAAGCTGGACGGCACTCAGCAATCTAATCTGCTAGACTTTGGAAAGGAAGGAAGCAGAACAAACATTACAGGGTGACAGCCTGTGAGGGGGGAGAGACACTCCAGCCCCGCCCAGCACAAGACCATTACCCAGAGAGAATTGGACGGGCTGGGAAGAAGGGGCAGCTAAGGAAGAAGGACACTGTCCCTTGGAGGATTGTATTTGGAAGACCTTTGATCCAATTTTGTCTCCCAGAACCGCTCGAGTTCGAAACGTGCTTACCCACTTGACACACAGGATTAAACAACAGCACTTGCCTGGTATTTACTGGTTAAGAATTTCCAATGCATTATTTAATTTTCAGGACGATTGTCTCTATTTTCAAATGAGGAAACCCGTCTAGAAGAGGTTAGCGGTTTGTCCATGTTTGGACCCAGGTTCTCTTGACTCTAAATCCTTCTAAAATTTCCTTTGACTTGTGGATGGGTAACTGAAGTCAGCTCTATTTTTTTTTTTTTGCAAAAGTTTAAAAATACACATATCGATCATTGTCACCTGCTTATCGCCTTGCCACACCCAGCCCTTCTTCCTTCCCTAAATCTAGAGACAAGGTTTAAACAGACACACCTAGGCCGCAGTGTACACTTTGCAGAAGGGCAAGAGAGGAAACGGAATGATGCTTCCTTCTCTTTTGCAGTCCCTAAGAAGCTGCAGGGGGAAGCCCTCGCAGGCAGCCTGTTTGTTGGTGTCTCAGGAGTTGGGGGCTTTCAGGTCCTGAGCACTGTGGAGCTCAGTTTCTCTGGGCTATTTATATCTCAGACGTGGCTGCCTGCCTGCTCTATGACCTTCCGGGAAGGTGACCCGGTGTATCTTCCTTTCTTGCCTACTGCCCCACGGGCTGCATTTTCTCCCAAGCAGGCGAGAAAAGAGAGGTCATGATGGTTTAAAGTAGCCCCCTGGTTCTGCCTCCTTTTGTCTTCCCTCCGAAACGCTTTTTCTTTAAAATTTGCTTCTTGATTCTGTCTTCCTCCTCCCCCAAATCCTGGGATCTAGAGGAGTTTGGGCTGTCTCAGGGTCAGGGGGGCGGCACCCTTTTTGAACCTCCCCATTCCTGAAGATGTTTGCATTCCTCACCCAGGCTTCCGCTGGGGACCCTCTGGGGACTCGGTACATTCCCTTCTCTCCAGGGTCATTCCTCCTCTATCCTCTGTAGTTTTGCAGTGGTCACAGAAGCAAATTCCAAAGGCGAGGATACTGAAGCCGGATTCTGGAAACTCGTGCTCCCCCCCCCCCTTCCCAGGCTCTGCTCTTTGGCCGGGCTCAGGGGTGAGCTCTGGTAGTACTGTGTGCTCTCGTTTTTTCACAGGGCAGTTAGCGTGGTCGAGGCTTTGCAGATATGTGGTCACCCTGCATGGAGCAGGCGTGAACTCTGTGGTTGCAGAGACTGCTCTTACCTCCACACCCAGGTTGCGACTGAGACCTCTGAGGTCATTTCCTATGCACTTTCTTCTCTGGCGAGGTTAGCAGTGTCACCCCCTGATGCTGTGGCTGTCCCCCCATCTTCTGCTCTTGGAGGGCAACAAGGGAGGTCAAATCAAGAAGCACCATCTTGCCTCTTACTAGGTCATAATTCTAGAAAGTTCCTGCCTTATCAACGTGGACTAATGTGAAAGAAAATCTCTAAATATTAACAAAAATGAATCTTTAAAAAATTCTCACAAAGAAAAAATTCTTACTAAAATCCTTTTCAATTTGCATGTGTGTGTATTTATGCATCCGTGTGTGTGTACCTGCTCAAGGAGGGCAGGAGAGGCTGTTGATCCGTGTAGCTGGAGTTGCAGATGGTTGTGATCTACCCAATGTGGGTGCTGGGAATCGAACTCCCAACTTCCGCCAGAGCAGCAAGTCCTCTTAACTGATGATCCATCTCTCTAGCTCCAAACGAATTGTTTTTGAACTGGGATTGTAGTATATTATTGTGTAGGTTTATTTTGTAAGGTGGGCAATACCGTTTAAGGCATGATTTCTGTTACTATTTTATCTATTCCCACACATACCAGAATAGTCTAGCAAATGAATTCCCCCATGTTGCAAACCACATTAACTACTCCAAGAATCAAAGAGCTGATACAGGCAGATGCCAACATTTTCTGCCTTTTTTAATGGGGGGCAATGTGTATGTTGTAAAATATGCAAGTATTTTATAACTTAGCTATACTCTTACCCAAACTACAACTTCTTTTTGTTGTTGTTGAGAATTTCATTTATAATATGTTTTCACCAAATCTATTCTCTATTCCCTTCTCTTCGGTACCTCTCCATGTTCCCCAACTTCATTACAACCGTGCCCCCCCCCCCACTGAATACTTAGTGCTGCCTGCACACGCATGAGCGTAGAGTCAAGTACTGGAGCATGGCTTAGTCATCTGTGGCGGCTCAGCTAGGGATGGGACTTCATAAACCTTCCTCTGTCAATGCTGGGATTCTAGCCGGCTTGATTTCATGCAGGTCTTTGGCCTGCAGTCCCGGCCACTGTGAGTTCATGTGTATAGTGGATACAGCTATACCCAACAGATGTTTCAAGGCAAATGTCTATTACCTCTGGCTCTGACAGTCCTTTATTCCCCCACTGCCACGACAATCTCTGAGCCTTTGGGAGAGGGGGTAAAATATAGACACCCTATTTAGAATTGAGCTAGGTCCTTTTTCCTTTTAGAAATTTATTTTTATTTTATGTTCATTGGTGTTTTGCCTCCATGTATGTCTTTGTAATAGTGTTGAGCTCCCTGGAACTGGAGTTACAGACAGCTGTGAGCTGCCGTGTGGGTGCTGGGAATTGAACTTGGGTCCTCTGGAAGAACAGTCAGTGCTCTTAACCACTGAGTCATCTTTCCAGCCCTGAGCCTTCTAGGTTCTTATCTGATGAGAGTTAAGATGCATTAACCTATGGGTATAAAAACAAGAACTTGGGAGGGGAGCAGTTTAATACTGTGTCCATTTAGCAGAATAATATTAGGTTCTCCCCTAAGGCCTAGGACCTAACGGGTCATGAGCCTTTTGGTCAAGTTAACAGTGTCAGGCTTGAGTTCTGTCTTGTGAAGCAGATTTTAAATCTAACCAGAAAGTGATAATTACTCCCATAACCGTTGTGCCAGCATTGCCCAAGTGGGCACATCTTGCCAGGCCAGACATTGCTGTAGCTCGTAGGGTTCACAACTAAGTAAGATTGCTGAACACTTTTCCCTTCTTCTAGCATAAGCAGAATCTTTTGGCACCATGAAATTTAGCCAGTAAGGGACGAAGCTTCCAGGTCAGTACAAGCCTGATTTCTCCACATTCTATGACTCAAGCGCATGATATCATTAGCCACAGGGTTGAACTATCAAGTTCTGGAGGACAGCACAAAGCATTGGCAATGATTTGTAGTGTTTAGGGGCCTATGGGACCTCATTGACCAACAACTCAAAGAGAGGTAACCCACACCTGTTTTTTTTATTTGCTACATTATGGTGTTTGAGAGAGGCGTTATCTGTCTCCCTGTTGTAGGGAAGTTCTATTTGTGTGTGTGTGTGTGTGTGTGTGTGTGTGTATGTGTGTGTGTGTTTTAGGAAACTTCTTTAGTTCTGACCAGCAGCAGCTTGCATCATCTAATAGCTCTGTAGTTTGTTTCTTTTGAGACAATGTCTCATGTAGCCCACGCTTGCCTCAAAGTCAAGATATAGTCCAGGATGAATTTCTGATCTTCCTGCCTCTACTTCCTGAGTGCTGGGATTACAAGGATGACCTGCCATGCCTGGTTCCTGCTAGGCAAGCGTTCTACCAACTGAGCAACATCCCCAGCTCTCCGTAGATTTTTATTTAAAATATTGAATTGTCTGTCCATCTTTTCTTTTACTTATCCAGCCGAATATTTAATTAAAGATTTTTAGACTTATTTCTGTGTATAAATATTTTGCTTATGTGCATGTATGTGCACCGTGTATGTACCTGTGGATTTCACTGGAACGAGGATTACGGATGGTTGAAGCTAGATCCTCTGCAAGAGCAACGTGTTTTCTTCTTCGTTGTTGTTGTTTTCTTTTTCTTTCTTTTTTTCTTTTCTTTTCTTTTTTATTTGTTTTTTGAGACAGGGTTTCTCTGTTGCTTTGGAGCCTGTCCTGGAACTAGCTCTTGTAGACCAGGCTGGCCTCGAACTCACAGAGATCCGCCTACCTCTGTCTCCTGAGTGCTGGGATTAAAGGCGTGGGCCACCACTGCCCGGCCGAGCAGTGTGTTTTCATAACCACTGAATAATCTCTCTGGCTCCTTTTTATTTTATTTTAAAATTTACTTATTTGGCTTGACTCCAAACTCCTGAATTTCAGGCCTCGGTCTCCAGAGTAGATATGACCACAGGTGACATCATGTCTGGTTGGATTTTTATTTCATTATATTTTTGGTTTTTTGAGGCAAGGTCTCATGTAGCCCAGGCTGCCCTCAAACTTACTATGTAGCTGAGGATGACCTTGGTTTTCCAGCTTCTGCCTCCAAGTACTGGGATGATAGGCACGCACTACTATGTCCGGGGT